CCTGTTACAAAGTAATATTAAAACGGATTTAAAATGCTATTAAAACAGTTAACTGATAAGGGAAAAATGGTTTAAAAAAAAGCGAAAGCTTTAAGCTTTTTTTTAAGTTTTAAGATTAGGAAATTAATGGCGACTGTTTTTGGGATAGCCAAGTCATCCTAACCGATTTTCTTCAAACAGGGAAAACCATTACGCGAGCACTACGCATCATTACTTTACAATAAATATAGGTAGACATCACAGCTAATTCAGACATCACAGAAAATTTTGTTTCACCTAGACAAGTCGCCATCACACCTCTGCTGTCACACCTCTGCGGCCAAAATTTACGAATTATTTTGAACTACTAGACTACCCTCTCTATTTGCCAGATTAACCCTAGATTGTACCTAGAGACTGTACTAGCAGTCATGACCTATGCAAGCGAAACCTGGACACTTAAAAAGTTCATTATAAGGAAACTGCAGGTCGCACAACGCTCAATAGAACGAAATATGCTGGGAATAACCAAAAAAGACGGTAAAAGAATAGAGTGGATGCGATAAAAGTCATCCACAGACTAAAATCCATCAAGTGGCAATAGGCATGACACCTGGCAAGAAATACAGATAACAGATGAACCACAAAAATTACAGCATGGTACCCACGAGGAATTAAAAGACCTAGAAGAAGACCAAACCTGAGATGGAACCATGACATTAGGAGGGATAATTTGGGCCCGCATAGCCAGCAATAGACAACCAATTTTCCCAACTACAAAGAGAGTATCTAAATATGTGAGGGAGGCTTCACCATGACTGGAAATGGTTGAATAAGCTGAGAATGATAATACCTAGAGAATATAATTTTATGTGTTGAATTATACGGTATATTTCATAAAACTATATTTTTCGATCATCCAGTAAGTAAAATTTTCACAAAACGACAATTTTTATTTTTATAACTTTTTCGGGTCCCTCAGTTATTTATTTATTTATTTATTTATTCTACAACACTCTACAGCTTACGCCAATTACAGAGTGGGTTACCACACAAAAGAAAATTCAATACAAAATAATTAAATTAAACAAAAAATAACATCAATGAGAAAAAATACATATCAATGAAAAAAACAACAACAATATAAACCAAGAAAAACCACTAAACTGAACTAACAACCGAAACCAAACTGCAGCTGAAAATATCAAAATTACACTGATATAAATTATATGCATCCTGCATACGTTTCAATGGCGAATATTTACTTACATTTGTGCGCGAGGAGGCCACATAAAATGTAAAGCTATACCGAGAGCTACGTGGGACCAGAAAATTGATTTGACTGAGAACATCCGGACTATCAATTTCATTATGTAATAACTTGTATAAAAATTTCAGCTCTGAATTTGTCCGTCGAACCTCCAAGGAATCTAGAGAATGTTTCTGCAATAAAGAGCTGTGACAGCAGCCAATTTGCGGGTAAACCCCATCAGTTCTTAAACTCAGATATTTCAGAAAACGACGCTGTACCTGCTCGAGAGCATTAATATGTGCCGCATAAAACGGCGACCATACAATTGATGCATACTCTAGCTTTGATCTTACAAAAGCATAATAGAGTAGTTTTAATGTGTTACTATTGCTAAAATCTCTAGTATTACGCACAATAAATCCCAAGGCCTTAAACGAAGATTGAACGACTTCAGATATATGCTGAACGAAAGATAGTTTACTGTCAAATGTGACACCCAAATCTTTAAAAACAGATACTCTACCTATCATCGTATCACCGATAGAATAATTATAAATTTGTGTTTCCGATTTCAAGGTATAAGACATGACTTTACATTTTTCAACGTTCAATGGTAAGTTATTATATGAACACCATGCAACTAATCGATCAACACACCTCTGAAGCCGTTCACAGTCATGAGGCGAATCAATGCGGGAAAATATCTTCATGTCGTCTGCAGACAGTAAGACACTTAAATCAATTATATCAGTGACACCGTTTATAAAAATGTTAAACAATAACGGTCCCAAAATAGACCCCTGGGGTACACCCGAAGTAGCGCACAGTTCGACCGAATTCTGGCCACAATACTCCACCCTTAACAATCTGTTTTTTAAATAGGACTCAAACAACATTAATAAGTTAGCTGAAAACCCAATCCGATCCAGATGGAAAAGAAGGATCCCATGGTCAAGTCGGTCAAACGCTTTAGAAAAATCAGTATACACAGCGTCGACCTGACTCTTTGTATCAATAGAGTCAGCAATAAATTGTGTAATACTTAAAAGATTAGTTGTCGTCGACCGACCCCTTATAAAACCATGCTGATTTGGTGAAATTCTACCTCCCACCTGGAACGCCAATGTGCCATAGAGAGCCATTTCTAACATTTGGAAAAATTAGAAATTATTGTTACAGGTCTCTAATTTTCAATATTATTTCTATCGTTCTTTTTAAATACTGGGATGATCTTTGAGGTTTTCCAGATAACAGGAAACGTATTTGTCTTCAGGCACAGATTAAATAATTTCGTTAGTGGGGAGGAAAAAAACTATTGCGCAATCTTTCAACAGAAATGAGGGTACTTTATCGGGTCCTACCACTCCGGTGGGCTTCATTTTTTTAAGCACTGCAAGATATCTCTCTCCGATATCCGATTCAGTGTTATATCACCAAAGGAAGAATTAATTTCAGTGCTACCTTCACGAATATGACCGTTACCTGATACAATATAGGACGATCGAAAAAAGTCTGCAAATGCATCTGCTATTGATTTTGTATCATTGAGTTCGAAATCATTAAACTTCATTTGTTCAGGAAACGACCGAGACTTACTTTTATTATTTATAAATTGCCAAAACTGCTTGGGGTTATTAGTTAGACCACCCTCCACGTCCCTACAATATATACTATAGTTTTTACTAATATTTTGCTTAATTTGCGCTCTAAGCTCCTTAAATTTTACCAAGTGAAAAATAAAACCAATGTTATCAAAATGAAAAATTAAACCATATTTACCAAGTGAAAAATTAAACCAAGTTATCAAATAAAACCAATGTATTTTTCAAAAAGTATATTTAATAAAATAACAACATTGTAAATATCACAGATTATACATCACTATACAACATGCAGATTAGAAAATAAAACCATCCTTAATAAGAAAAATATCACTGCAGATAACGACAAATTAAACTTAACAACACAAGTACATAAATATAAAATACTTATCGTAACAATATATTAGTTTTCTCTCTTCATCTCGCGTCCTCTTCAATTTAAATAAACTGTATTTCTTCCTATCGTAATCGGCTCTTGAATTCCGTGATTACCGAAAAATGGAACAAAAACTGTAACTAATAATAACAGTAAGCAATATTTAATACTAAAAAATATAACATTATTGTCCTTTGAACCTAGGAATATTTTGTAAATTTCATGAAAATAAAAAGTTATCAGATACTATTATATACTTCCCTGCATACACATAATTTGTAAAACAATATACAGATATAGAAAACATACAATTTCCAAATTTAATTCTTCTTAATTTAATTTCCGAATTATTGATAAGATAGAGAACATTTTACTAGACAAGCCTCTGTAAGTATTAAATAAAATAATAATATGTTCCAAATTAATTAAGATGCAATATAAAAATTATACTTCGTATAATCCAATAATTTCTAGAATAGTTTTGTTTGCAAAAATATTAAAAATTGCTTTTGTGCTAAGTGTTGTAAGCTGTGGTTATAGTTTTAGCATCAAAACCAAAACTTGTATTTTTTCCATATTTTTTTTTTATATTCTAATTCGATTATAAATAATTATTATAAACATCTTTGTTTCGAGTATGACTTTCAGTCTCTCTATAAATTATATTTATCATTAAAAAATTGTACCCGTATATTGGAATTATTATTTTTAAACTGTTTAAGAGTAAAATTGGACAAGAATATTGAAACACCTAACCTGTATAACTGTATTAAATTTTAATTGTATATATAGCACGATTGAATAAAAACGGCGTCACAGTCAGCGTTAAAATAACATTTTAATTCAAGGTTTACTGTGTATGTTACCAAAATCTTTAACAGCTGATCAGTATATATACTAATTCAATTTCAGTTTGATATTAAAAATAAGATATAAAAATTATATTTTTTAAATAAAAAAAACCATACGATAATAAAACGGCGTCACGATGGACATCGAAATAAAAACGAAAATAATTTCTAAACCTGTATATGTTATGTATTAGAAATTAACATAAAAACTTGTCAAAAACTTCAATTAAAAAAAGTAAAAATTACAAAACAGACCTATTTTTATTTCATTTTATATGTAAAATTATATGAAGAATATCATCATTTTTGACGCTTGTATTGATTCTTAGTACTTGCATAGCAAAACTCAAAATTCCAATTTCCTATACAGGGTGTCACAGAAATAAGTGCAAGTATTTTAACTGGTAGTATATTGCGGCCTCATAAACACGCTTATGAGTTATTTTTTGCGAAAAAAAAATTTGAAAATTTGGAATTTTTTTAAAAAAATTTTGGAATTTTTTTTAATTTTAAGTTAAAAAACATAATTTCTTAATAATATGGCAACATAGGTAGCTTAAATTTACATGAAAGAAAATCCAGAAAAGATCCAGTGGTTCTCAAAATTTTAGCAAAAAATGATTTTTTTTCTGGAAATTTTCAAAGTATAAAGTCCAAAATAACTCGGTTATTTTGGACTTATTTGAAAAACGATAAAGAGAAAATATGTTTCTTTTATTGAGATCTACCACCCCTTAAAATACTTGCACTTATTGCTGGGACACCCTGTATAGTTAAATGGTCAATTTGATAAAACTAAAAATTGTACATATTTTTCTATTTTTTTTAATAAAATAAATAGATAAAATCGACCCCAATGTCCAATCAAAATTATGTGTATCAAAGAAGCCTAATTGATCCTTAAATCTGACGAAAAAAATACCAAAATCCATAAGGAAACATAAAACGAAATCAAAGCAGCTATGCTTTATTCTATCATAATTATAACAAACTTTGGTTTAAAAATGTTTGAACTAAGCATCAGAACAATTCTGCCTTCCTATTATTTTTTTCTAATTTCTAAAAAGCTATAATAAAATAATTACTGATTGTAAAACAAAATATAGATATTGCTAAAACTGTCGCAAAACAAAAACAACTTATCTAAAATCAAAGTACGTAGTTAAATTCCAACTAAATTATTATTTTAGAATGCCAATAAAAAATTTACCACAAGTTCATAAAATTTATGAGCATTTATCACAGTATATTACATAGACATAAAATTGCTAAAATATCAGTGAATCTCTTTGAATCACATTAATATTTTTATTGACATTCCGCGAATAATTTCAATTCAATAATCTAACACATCACTAATCTAAATTTATTTGAAATAAGTAGGGAAAGATTTTACAGATTTTTATAATTTGACTATTTATATTATTATGTATTCTGGTCTTATAGAAAATATTACTATGTATATAGGAACAGAATAAACAAAGTATAACGGTATTTAACAAAAGATTATTAAAAAAATATAATGTGTATGTTGGCGTCATTAATCATATCCGTCGTTCCCTGAAATGCCTAGTGATTTCACGTATGGTAGCTTAACACTTCAATGGGTACATTGTTTGACTGTGGTTCAGAATAGGCATTCCCTGTAATGACGCAATTATTTCAGTGAAACGCAGTAATTATTACCCTCTACGCATTTTATCTTAAATATTGTGATTACAGAAAATATCTTACTTTTGACGATAGCCTAAAATGGACAAACAGGGTAACTTAAAATAATTTAGTTAAATACTACGTTTCACTGAAATATTCCGTCATTACAGGAAACGACTGAGATGCACAGTCAAACAATGTACCAATGGAAGAGTTAGGCTATGAGCCCGAAATACATGAATTGCCTAAAATGCCTAGGCATTTTAGGAAATGACGAATTTATCTGTTTGATGCCGACATATACAAAATTTACACAACTACTTATTTATGCCAAATAGTACAACCATAATGTGCAAGAGAATAGTTTAATAGTTTTTGTATCTATGGTGTAAATATTATGCAACAAAAAAGTTTATAATGCTCATAGCATTGTAAAGAATTAATAATTATTATCATAAAGCTTCATCTTTGTCGATAACGATAATACCCTTATCGAGAATTACGGACTAAATTTCCATCCCTATACCTTATCATAGATAAAAATAAAATTGTATAAATTATAAATTTATTTTCCTTAACATAAATAATCCTTTGAGCAAATAAAACGTACAGAATATCTTTTAAACAAATATTGATACAATAATAACATTTACAAAGATATTACCCACATTTGAAAGACAATGTCAAAAGAACACTAAACTTTCCGTAAACTATGTCTCATTATTTCTAACAACTGTATCAAAATACTCTGAATACCCATCTAAATTCATTTTTTTTATATATTACTATATTTTCTTTTTAATACACAATATATTAGATAAAATTAAAAAATAGAAAAAGCGCTAACCATATTATTAAAGATGTTAAAATAAAATGTATTCCTTTTTAAATTGTAGCCAAGCTATTGTAGCAGATAATAATACTTTTTTTATTTTAGACTTTTTTGACATAATCGGACACGTTACTTTCCAAACTCTCCAGAGATGTCGCTGTGGATAGTTGGTCAGGAATAGTAGTCCTGGCTTTGTCCACATTTCCTATTCCTGGAACCGGAGTTGGAGCTACAATCACAGGTGGGGTCGCCTCTGCCTGGGCAGCTGCAAGCTAAATTAAGAAAAAATACTCTTAAAATTAAATAGAAGGCTTGTTATTTATAAACGCTGTAGTGGTCTGTAAAAGATAGCTGTTTGGCTTGGTGCAATTTAATTATTAGTTCAGTAAATAAATATTTATAAAGAAAAAGAAAACATTATTCATATAAATTATAACAGAATCAAAAGTGTATGTCATTTAACACCTTCCCAATACCTTCTAAAATGTTAAAGCCACTTATAAAAAAGAACGAATGCCTTAATATTTAAAAAGATATTGGATCTATTAATTTTAAAAAAGAATTATAAATATGTTTATTAAAATAGTCAATAACAAGTATTTAATAAATATATAACATAGATAAAAATCTCAGGAATTTAAATTACACTGTTCTACTAGTGCAGTCTACGTTACCGTGCATCTCATAAATCGTAATTGAAACAACGATCAATAAAAATAAATTAAAAAATTGCCCATGCATAATGCATTTTAACAGACATAAGCAACTACGTGAGGCGTGAAAACAATTGTATAAAATAATATAATAAAATGTTTATAAAAACACTTTAAGCATCCTTCCTAAAAGAATCATAAACTAGAGAGAACCGTGCACGTTTTTACAAATCAAAATATCATTCAAAAACCAAATAAATCTTATATTCACATACTAGCACATTCTGTTAGAACTTTCATAATAATACATAATAAGTAACAGATCTACTAAAGTAAGAGACCTACTAAAATAAACAAATAATGTGTAATACATATAGTACGTGCATGAACACATACAAGGTGTTTCAAAACACATGTGCCATCTCTCGTGGGGAGATTCCTCACGTAAAAATAAGATTTATTTTTCATATCAACATAGGTCCGATTCTACTTTGTTTTGTAACCATAAGAGATTAAAATCTTTATTTTTATTGATTTATTTTTTCTGGGGGTTGGGGGGTCTTCGAATGGGTTTAAATATAAATCCGTCATGCGTCGTCTCTTGTTGTTTTTAACCAGTTTTATTGGTTTATTTCAAAAATTACAGATCATATTTCAATTTTGTTGGTTTGACGGAACGATAAACGACAAACGGACGCCGATGCGTATGATCTCGCCTTTAGATTTTTGAGGCTTGTCAAAGTCTTGCCAAATTATAGGTTATAATTTTGTGTCAACTTATGTCAAATACCTGCGTTTTGGAAGATGATGCAGTTTGATTCGTGTTATTACGTGTGTTTTGTGTCTTTTGAAGTTAAGTGAAGGAAAAATCGAGGGAAAATTAACTGTGGACCCAGAGCACAGTTAATAGTTAATAGTCGCTGCCCAGGCAGAAAGTCTCATACACCAATAAAGTTGCCATCAATAAAGTTTGTATATGCTACAAGGATCGTACTAAGCATATACTACTGGAGTAGCTGTAAAATATCGACATCACATGATAGGTAAATAATGGATTTTAGTACTGCAGAAAAATAATGTCAAAAGGTACTGGTTTAAAAAAAATTAAGATTAAAGTTAATTAATCAACCTTTAAGGTATAAAATTTGGTAAGTGTTATTATTAATAAAATAGTTTGTTTTTTATGTTGTTTTATTTATTCCTGTGGAATATTACAAATTTGTATTTGTACATAAGTTATATTGATAAATATAATAATAAATGCGGGCAGTTTCTTGAAGCTTGAAAGTAGTTCTTTTTTATATTTTTGTGGTATGTGGTGTTTTGTTCTTGTTTGTTTTGTATTAACACATACCGTTTTTTTAATAAAATAACTCAATTACATTTTTTCAGTTTTATACAGTTTGTTTTCAAAATATTTTGAAGTAATCACTTATCAGTCAAATATTAAATATATTAATTTCCTGCTATGCGTTCCAGTTGTAACAACTTATTTCTTTGTAAAATAAAGTAAACTACTTTGTAATTAAACTGACAGACACATCTATCACTGTCAAGGATCTTGTCGTTGGACAGACTATAGCACTGAACATCAGTGTCATATATATTAAAATTTAATAATAAATTAGTCTAAATAAATATAAAAGTATTCCAGCGATACCCATATGCACGTCCCTGGTGAATATGTAGACACTATTTTCGCATTCAAATATGTCGCACATATAGTAACTTTTACCCTCAAAATTTCATTTGAATCTCTAAAAGCACTTGGAAGAAATTTATAATAAATTGATAAAAAGTGTTTAGTATAGATGTAGATATAAAACGAAGCAGAATAGGTTGCAGACCTATCTTGATTTGAAAAATAAATCGTATTTTTACGTGAGGAATCTCCCCACGGGAAATGGCACAGATTTTCTGAAACACCCTGTACACAACGCAAATAAAAAATTATATATTAACATATATGTATTAATTTCTGATACTTAACTGAAGCTTAAAGTGGGGAACTACGCTATTACGATATAAATTATATTTGCACGCGCTGACAGCCCTAGAAACATATCAATACAAAAATCAATAATTATTTAATATTCAAATAAAACACTTATTAAACTAACTCCGTCGATAAGTATAGGTAAAGATGACTTTCCATATTTTAATTAAACAATAATTGTTCGGTTTGATATATAAAATGCGTAGATACGTATAAATAATTAATAAAAATGTTTCTAAAGATAACGAAAAACAGTTTGAACGTTATTTTAGTGAAAATATTTTCAGAAGAGTCAAAAATATCAGATTTTGTTCTAGCTGTGCATTTCTTATTAAATTCATTTTTCTTAAATCAACATTAATAAATTAGGACTATGAATAATTTATTTTCAAAACAAAATGCATGCAGAATATTAAAATAAAAAGTAAACATAACTAGGGCCTAAATAAGTTTTGTTTTAATTGCGTTAGACACGTAATTGCTTTTTGCGCAAAAAGCAAAAAAACAAGGCCATCGTTTTGACAATAAAAAAAATATTTTTTTAAACTTTTGTTTTAATGTAAATGAGGTTAACTCAAGTTTTATAACTTGAAAATGAAGGTATTTTATACAGATCGTCCCCTATGTCACATAAAGACCTAGACTTTGATTAGCTAGAAAATAACGCAGTTTTTAAATTTATTGCATTTTCATGCCTCCGTTTATCGGATATACGTTGGTGTTATTTTCTATTTTCGTTTCCATAACGATTTTGCTATTTTACTTATATTTTTATTAAGGTTAGATTAAATTTGTCAAAACGTCCGTTATCGTATGAACGGGTCCGTTGACGGGCTGAAGTAAAATATTTACGGATGAAAAGTGGCGCGAAAACGCTATGACCAATCAGAGCACCGTCGGACCAACGTATCACGGATGCATGAAAATCAAGCTTTAGTTGCGCATTTCCCTTTTTTCTTTTTTTTAATTAATTAAATATTATTTATGTGTTTACTTTTATTACAAGTATATTTCTCCACTTTAATAACTAATATCATTTACTGTACCAACGAAGAACAATTAACAAATTATTAAGTCTATCCTACTTTGTATTTTAACACTTTAAAAAATTAAAACGCCATTGATAAAACAGATTTTAGGTTAATTAGCTCCGCGGTAGCTTGATTTGCTCCATCCTTAGACCTTTTAATCAAGGATGTCAATAAATCCCAATAATTATAAAAATATATATTAAAGTATATAAAAATACATAAAAAAACTGAAGAATAGTGACTCACCTGTATTATTTCCTTCTGACTCTCCCGAGCTTCCAGTAAGAAAATACTCTCTTTCACTTCCTTATTCCCGTACTCGTGAATTTTATCGTAAATTACTCCATGCAATCCCAATTCTTTCAGGAATTTAATGGTGGCAGGATCGGCATTGTCATCACCCCAACAGAAAATGATCTGATTGGCTTCTTTGGACAGCCGAATCTAAATATGTTAAGAAGAACAATTACTAAGAGAATGTCTTTTTTTAATCTTTCTAAAATTAGTCTTAATTTTTGACAATGACGTCTAGAGACTGACCTCGCCAAAATTATTATCGATTGTCATTCCCAGCCGTATTTGACGCCGTTTTTTTTTCGAGCATCTGTATAATCTGTCTAGCTAGGAAATATACAGGGTGGTCCGAATTGTATTCCGGAAACTTGGCAGCGTATTCTTCATGTTTATTTTTTGTCAATAATGACATGTATTGGCTATTTCAATTCTAAATATCTTGAGAACGGTTGCAAGTAGCGATTTTTACCAAGAGACATTTTTTAAGTAAAAAATTACGGAAATGTATATTTTTTCGCTCAGTGGCTTTATACAGGTACGGACGAAAAGTTGTTACTCTTCAAAAGAGTTAAAACAGGTTTAGGTGGCGCCCTCTACAAGTAGGAGTCATATTGACCTCAAAATCAAATTTATCAATTAAAAAAACTCCCAGACACCAATTTTCATCCAAATATTGACGTCACTTCAGAAATTATTTGGGAAAAATCGAAATAAAAATGAAACTTCTACACCCTGTATCCCCAAAACTAAGCATTTTAGGACATACATTTATACGAAGTTTTTTACTTATTTTTATCTGCAGAATATGCTGCTAAAGTTTCCGGAATACAATTCGGACCACCTAATAGCATACTTCTGATCATTAAGCAAATTTTATTATACTTATTATTAAAATTTCAAGACATACTTACCAATGATGGATCCCTTAGCAAATCCTCTGTATGGACATTAACCCCAATTATTTCTATCATCGTGGCATACTGTACAGCGGCTTTTATGGACCAACATCTCGGATCGCTATACTTTGGATAAAGCTGGCTCTCGCCTTGGGTTAAAAACATCACAGGATACTTGTTTTGCTTCAATCTGATCACTTGACAGATGTCTGGATTGAAGCAGGAAAATATGATACGACGGTCCGCCCCATATCTGAATTATTCAAAGCTTTATCAAAAAACATACTGTAAATATAAATATATTGTTTATATTTCTTTATGTCAATTAGTTAAATACTACAATATATATTTTCTATAGGTTTTATTAAAATTTATCAAAAAATAAATATATTTTTTAAAGAATCATTCTCATTTTTATATTTATCTTGTTACTAAATCACCAGATATACAGAGTGGTTCAAATACATTTCTCTTCTTTTTTATTTTTTTAGATAAATAAACGAGATTTGGTATGTTAGTATATTACACAAATTAGGATTGATTGGTGTATTCAATTGTTTTTGATCACTTCCTGTTTCACCGGAAATGACTACAACTTTTGATTTTTAATTAGCACCCTCGATTTTTTTGCTTTATTCGATAGAAAATGACATTCTGAATAGAATGACATATCATATGTCAACTTTTGACATTTTCGCTTAATAAAAAATTGTATTTTAAAATTCAATCTAGAGTGCCATGGCTATGTTAAAAATACTAATTCTTCATCAAGGAGCCTTGGAAAAATAGATTTGATCGTCTAATGTTTTTAGTGTCTTGTCCTGGCCAGTTAGAAAATGCTCAAATCGTATTTTTAATCATATCTCAATTTTTTCAAATGGAACGAGGGTGGCTCATTAGCATATTTGGAAAAAGCATTTTTTTACGAATAATTTGATACCGCACACTTGCTATTTCAAGTCAAATTTTCGTTACGAACCGCAAGTTATAATTTCAAATAAACCATATGCGAAAATGGCAAAAGTTGACATATGATATGCCATTCTATTCAGAGTGACATTCTCTATCGAATAAAGTAAAAAAAATACCGGGTGCCATTTAAAAATCAAAAGTTGTAGTCATTTCTGGTGAAACCGGAAGTAACCGAAAGCAATTGAATATATCAATCAATCCAAATTTATGTCATATACTAACATACCAAATCTCGTTTTTTTAATTAAAAAAATCAAAAAAGTTATAGGGGTGAGCCACTTTGAGACGCACCCGGTATATCTTAAATAGATTGCTGTAAGTATATTTTTTCGCTCATTACTCAGTGCTCAGTGAGACTTATACCACTACTAGTAGATGATTTTTTACTATAGAATGGGAATTTTATAGAATTCCCGTTCTAAATTATTAATAACAATATCTATTCCCTGTGTTCTTAGATTTATCTTAGGTCTCTTGATAAAAATCGCTACGAGTTAATAGTTTTTCTTCATTTTTTTAAATGGAACACTCTGTATATTATTCCTTTATTACATGACAATTAAATATTACTATAAGTTGGCCAATATTTAACTTTACTATAAATATCATAATCTTAAACCACACAGGGTGTTTAAAATCTATGCCAACTTTTTAAAATATAAAATAATTTTTCTTCGTTTTAGGGTTCCGTACCCAAAGGGTAAAAACGGGAACCCTATTACTAAGACTTCACTGTCCGTCCGTCCGTCCGTCTGTCACAAAGATCTATCTTATGAACCGTTATAGCTAGACAGTTGAAATTTTTACAGATAATGTATGTATGTTAGCGGCAACATAAGAACAAATACTAAAAACAGAATTAAATAAATTTTATAAATAAAAAAGTACTTTCACTAAACATTATCTTTTAAGTAAGAATTTTACATAGCATCTTTCAAGTCCTCGGTGGCCGCGTGGTTAAAGCGTTAGGACTTTACGCTGCTATGACATTAAAGCCGTAGTAAGGCAGGTTCGAATCCTAGTCAAGGCGACTTTTTTTTAATCTTTTTTTTTTAATTTTTACATATTTTTACATATTTATTTTTACTTTTTACATATTGATTATTGATTAATACAATTACTTATACGCGCATTGAAAATTTCAGCTAAATCGGAAAAAAAGTTTATAATAATATAGTGTCTAATGTTGTATAGATAATGAAAGGTACGGAACCCTTCGTGCGCGAGTCCGACTCGCACTTGACCAATTTTTTTTAAACTGTATATTATTTTTTTGTTAAATGGAGAATTAAAAAATGAACATTTTTTATTCTTAAAGTATTTCAAAAATTTTAACGGTTTTGCAGATATTGGTAATATTAAATTACATACGGGGTTTCAACGTCTTTGGTTTCAACAGTAATTTTTTATCAAAGCCCCCTAGTTTGTTGGTTTTGGTCTGGTATTTTACCATTGAAAGAGACTTATGTAATAAAAAAGCGAATATTTGCGAAACTGCTAAAAATTTTAAAATACTTTAAATACAAAAAATGTTCATTGTTTAATTCTCCATCTAACAAAGAAATAATATACAGTGTGTTCTATTTTAAAAAAACGAAGAAAAATTATTTTAAATTTTAAAAAGTTTGGCATAGATTTTGAACACCCTGTGTGGTTTAAGATTACGATATTTATAGTAAAGTAAATACAGACCAACTATAGTAAATACCTAGTATAGTTTTGATTTCAGGACATTTCTGGTATTTTTAATGTTTCTTAAAAAAGGCTAATTTTTTTTATTTATGTATTAATATTTCTTTAACTATCAAAACATATTTAATAATATGTTAGGATTATGTAGACCGATCATACATATATAAAACTTTAGCATAAAAGTATATTTAAATCACTCCCTATATCTATCAAAATAATCTTAAAAATTGTGCTAATGTTGCCACATATACATGATTTAAAAAAAGTAGAAATATTAACAGGCAGAAATCATTTTAATTTTTACAGTTATGATTATTTTAATCAGATAAGCAATCATGTGTCTCCATCTCCAGATACATATTTATTAAAACTTTTAAATATATTTTTTAAGTACTTACTTTAACACTACTTCCAAAATTGTATCCAAATACAGATTCAAATCAGTGGGATGATATAGCTCATAAGACCCATCAAACAACTTCATTGTCCATTTAATTTCAATATTAAAACCAACGTGTGGATTTAATGTTTCTAAAACCTGATGGAGTGTTGGAAAGGGTTGATGTTCTTCCAAATCCTCATCGAAAAATCTTGGATTCTTTGATTTCCCTTCAGTTACATGATAAATCTAACAAATTTAAATTCTAAGCTCTAATATTATTAATTTTATATTGAAAAATATTTACTTTCAACAATTTAAGTTGTTCTAAAGTCAACTCTTTTAATGGTAGCTCCAGCATATCCTGTTCAGTTAAATCCTTTTTCTTTTTCATTGAAATACAAACGTGGAAATCATGATAAATTATAGGCACTAAATCTTTACTCAATTGCACATCAAATTCAACAAAATCTGCTCCGTGGTCAATTGCATTTTTCAAAGAAGCAATGGTATTCTCACGCACTTCTGCACAATTTTGTACTTTGGTCTTAAAACTAGAACCCGAACCTCTGTGCCCCACATCTAAGCCTGACCTATTTTTCTTCCAGTATCTGGCATAGGAAACTTCCATATCACATTTAAAGTTGGGCATTGATCCAATCACTAGATAATCAACCCGTAGTTCACCCAAAGGGCGATGTTTGGTACTGGTTACAGGTAAAACAATATTGCCTTCAGAAGACTGAAAGGCTGTGGGTAATAAATAGCTAAATCCTGCATGATAAGGTGGTTCATTTTCCTCAGCTCTTGAAGAATAAATGTAGAAATCAAAAAGATACGCTGTATTTTGTGGAAATAAGATAGTACTTTCAAAAACTAGCATACCACTTGTGGGGACTTCAGTACCAAATTGAGGTTGAATTTTAAATGTTGGATCGTCGTCTTCCAAATTTGCCACTTCTGTAAAGGCAAACTTTGCACATTCTAAATTCTCCTGAGTATCACTTAACGATTCTTCTAATGCTTCCGACATTGATAATTGCCCATTTGAAGGATGACCACGCAAGTTCACAGGAGTTACTTTTATATAGACAGTTCTGTGAGTATACTTTGGCCTCCACAAAGTAAGAGGCGTATTGTAAAGTTTCAACTGAATCACTGACTCTTTGCTTAACCAACCCCTATCGACATGCATATTTTGGTCATAATTTCCATACAACTGAGGCTCGTTCTCCACAGTAGGCGACACATCAGCATAATCAATCAATCTAGGTTTGAGATTGGTCTCCCAATTTCTAACAATCACTTGAATTCCACTTTCAATAATAACACAAACACAATATCTGTAATCTATTTTTCTCCTATCAGGTATTTCCACATATCCAGACCAAACATCTGATCCTTCTTCTTGTTCCAAAGGAATGCATCTTTCTGGACTCCAACAACCCAACTCCTTTAAGTCACCAATAACACAAACTGTTTCATCTTTTTTCAGGTCTGGAACGCTCACTCGAAATAGCCAGTTTCTGTGAGCATATTCAAAAGATTTTATAGAGTGGCTCTCCAGACTGCCGTCTCCTTTGGCCCCCCTCACCACGGCATTATTGGAGTCTTCTAAGAAAAACCAGCGTTGCATATTAACAATAAACTTCTAAACAGGTACAACTGTAAAACCAGATGGGGTCTGCTTTTTCTTATAACAGATATTTAAATTTTATATGCGGAAAATCAAAACAAAGGTCATAATTAAATGTCAAGATTTAACAATAATCACCGCACCAAAATAATGATCAATTGGCACATTATGACACAGAACTGATTAAAAGCCAATGAATAGAATTCAAGCGGCTGCAAAACACAAATAACACTAAACACTGGTTATCGATGATTGACACCCACTTTAAAATTTATATAATCATGTAAAAAGTTGATTATAAACCTAGCACAGAGAACAATATTATCCAACTGGAATGAATAACTTCAAAAAATTTTGACAACACACAACAATATTTATTGATAAATGGGGTTAGGTTTCGTTAGGGACGGGCTAGAGTACCGATACTTTCAAAATATCGATTTGGTTATTGAACTGTATTTTTTCTCCGAAGAATCCAGCGATCAAGAAATAGAAAGTCGGATAATCGAAAGTCTGCTGTAGATCATAACTTTTATCGGGCTGATCTCGCTCGTCATTTATTAAAAATTAATTTAGATTTATCAAAGACAGAAGAAAGTTTTTGGAGTTTAGTTAAAAAAAAATCAAAAAGTTTTCAGTCACATATCGATTTTCAAAAAATAATTTCTACAGATTGGATAAAGAATATATTATACAATATATAAAAAAGGCGTCAGCGATGGCTATGGAATGAAGATCGCTGTCATTTTATATGTAAAATTATAGGGAGAATGTCATCGATGTTCATTTCCAACCCAACTAGATGCCGTTTTTTTCGATCATACGGTATTAACGAATTTGATTCACTTTCTTCTTTCACAAAATTTGTATTGAAATATCAATATGTTTGATAAACACGTGGACTGCTCACAAATACACGTCGCGTCAGTACGTATTTTTAAGCCGTTAGGCTGTCCTTACCACTTTTCGTCTCGCTAGCTCGTGTGTCACGGCCTTGAATTTTTACTCACAACAGTCACAACGCTCGTGTTTTTGTTTTTTCTAAAAACACAATTTTATTTATATTTAAATTGCCATCTACTATCGATATTTTTTGCCATATGCACATTCCTAGATGATGTACATAATGAGGCATGAGGTGATTCTCACTTATTAATGAAATACTTAATCAAAACAAACATTATCGGATGTTGGCGGATATTGCCCTTAGTTTGATTCATGTTTGATTCGCAGACAACTCTAGCAATCTAGCAGTTTGTGAAATAATCTGAGACAGTTATTTTATAGATTTATTAAAAAAAATTGTTAGTGGCATTTCCTTTTTTTTTCTATATAATTTATTTTCTAAATTGTAAAATCGATTTTTAGCGAAATTAAAAAAAAAATAATTAGCGAAGCAAAATGTTAATTAATATATAAAACTGATTTATCTAAAATTATCTTGTTTTTCTTAAAAGTGCAATATAAATAAGACTTATTATTTAGATTAGGTATTTAATAAAGAGTATTATTTTAATAAGTAGATTAATTTTTTTAATTACATAGTGTAAATATTGGTCCCAAAAAATTTTATACAATATGATCGAAAAAAAAAACGGCGTCAGTGATGGCTGTGAAATGAAGATAGCTGTCATTTTATATGTAAAATTATAGAGGATAATGTCATCGATGCTCATTTCCAAGCCAACGCTGCTAACTGTACGCCATTTTTTTTCGATCATACGGGATTTTATGTGATTATGGTAATCGTTACATATTATGACATCATAATGCAATTATTTATTTTAAATTTGAGTAAATTTAACGACTTTTTACATTATGCGGGTATATAACCCCATAGCACATTAAAAATCAATAGGTACTTATTGAAGTAAATTCCAATAGGTAAAATAGGATTCTAAAATAAAATGTTTTATCATGGTAGGTATATTATTTTTATTTAAACAACTTATAAAAAAACAAATTGGGCGAAAAATACTCAAAATAAAGTGATTATGTACACCTATTTACATTACTCAGATCGCTTAAATAAAGTTATTTACATTTACAAGTCCCAGATAGAATAAAATCCCCTTCGAACTCAACACGGCTCTAAAAACACCCTATACATATTTAAAACTTATATACGTAGTTGCCAAAATAAATATTAATGTTTTGCAAATATACAAAAAAAATCATGTACAACGTTTATACTATTATCACAAAAGAATTTGATTAACAATAATTCTTGTTCATTGCCGTTTATTTATAGAAATATCATTGAATTTAAGCATCAATTATTAACATTATTTTTATTTGCCTCTTTTATTTCCTGTATTCCTTAGGTAATATTAGTCAATAAATTAAAAAATCGTTCAACAGGTACAATATTATCAAAAAGTTTTATAACCAAACGTGCTATGTATGTTATGATATATAAACAAAACCTACATTAGAATTTTTTAACTATCAAAGTCAAAGCTAACGTGATCATAAAACTTTTTGATCCTAATAATCATGTTATGTTTTTAATCATAATTTTCAGAAATAATAGAGGTCAATAATTATTGTTAAAATATAGTTGTAAAGTTTATTAAAAAAAATACTGAAGCAAGTTTTTAAATGCTTATTTCCTGGTAAAATCGCTGATTGTTTTAGAATGCAATATTTTAGCAATTATTGCAATACATATATTGAGAAATATCAATTTTGAATTACCCATTGAAAATAATAATCATATTAAACAATTTTTAGAATTTTTTTTTCTCAGAAGTACCTAAACTAGAAAAAAATAGTATTTTTGTGTTCTGGTAAAATCTTTTAATAAAAAAAATAGTTTATCAAGAGAATATCGAAACAAATATGCGATAACTTCATTATTTTCCTGAGAATATTTTTTTCATAATGTTTAGCATATTTTATTGCATGTCATTATTATCATAACAGTCTGTCTGGCAGTAATAAAAATCTAGCTTACATCATAAAACAAACAGTGATTTGGACCAAGAGATAAGCAGTGCTGTCTTCAATCAACTCGGCACCATAGTGTCCACGTCTATGTTTCGTTTAACACTTAAAACCGCGATCGTTCAGTACACTCGTTGTACCCAGTAAAAGCACTTTTAAACACCGACTATTCGTAACTTATCTAATTAATATCTTAAATTTCACAGTCTTATTAAAATTCTATTTAGGAAACTAGTATCACAATTGAAGCAGTTTTTTTCTCACCATCCACATTACTTCTACGACTACGACGGATGCACGAAGGGACAATTATCACCGTTCCTACAATAACCGTGATTCTGAATGTTTTTGCACAACCGTCCTCCGCGACCTCCTCCTCCTCCTCCACCCCCTCCGCCTCCGCGTTTCCAGTTTCCTGGACCGCTCATTCTCACCCAGCCTCCGCCATTAGCCCTACCACGAAATCCACCGCGACCTCTAGGGTTGAAATTGTTAGGTCCACCGAACATATTCATGTTGGGACCTTGAGGCCCGTTGAACTGAGGCTGCATGTGGAAATTAGGATCTGTACCTGGAGGTGCCATAAACCCATCGGGAACCGGACCTCCGAACATGTTGGGGTTCATTGGAGGTTGGTTCATCATGTCCTGCTGGCCCATAGGGGGAACCATGTTGCCGTGCATCATGTTAGGCGGAGGGAAGTTGCCGGGTACGGGTCCCATAGGACCTCCGAATCGCGGTGGTGGAACTCCGACCCCGGCAAACTGTGGAGGTTGGTTCATAGGGTTCATGTTGGGGAAGTTCGGATTGAAAGGCATGTTTTGGAACATGGGAGGCATGGCTTGGGGAGGGTCCATTTGAGGTGCTGGACCTTTGGGTTCGGGCCAGGGAGTGCTCCTCAAATCGACCTCCTGACTGTCTGGGTCGTCCAAAGGTATAATAACCGGATCGCTCATTTGATGGTTTTCTGGAATAGGTTCTTCGGGACTGTCAGGTATACGACGCTTGTCATAGTATAAAGCAGGTAAAACAGTCTTTTCTCTAGCGAACTGGATATCTTTTTCCAAACTCTTTGAACCAGGTGGTGCGAGAGGGTCTGGTAGGTCGCATAAATACGGAAACCTCCACATTATTTGAGGTTCCATCACGTCCTCGTTACTGAGCTTTCTCGACATGATCAAAGCTTCTCTTTCGCTGTTCATCTCCATCTTAGCCATGTCCATAAACGTCTTGGTTACGTTAACTCTTTCAGTTTCATCCAACTCGAAGTACCGTACTTCGACCAAATCTTCCTCAGCTTTCCATTTGATCGACCTCTTAGGACCCTTCTTCTTCGTATACAGAAGCACCCCCCTCAAACCATCAGGTCGAAGAGGTCTTTGAACAACTTCTTCTTTATCCACTTCAGCCTCATCAGTAGGCGTCGTAGGACTTACAGGAGTATCATTAGAATCCTGAGCATTTTCATCATTGTTTTCGCTGTTCTCGTCTTGTTCCTCCTTCTTTTCGGACGTTTCGGATAACGTATCTTGGTAGAAATTGATGGGAGCGATGTTTTTCAAACCCAAAGAACCTGTGGGACTGGTTGGCGATGTAGGTGTGTTGGCATCTCCGCCATTTGAAGCGACACTGGGTGATGTAGGTGTATCTTTGGTGACGCTGGGTCTTCGTTTTCGCTTTTTGGCCTCTTTCTTGGGAGCTGAAGCGTTGAGAGCGTCCATAAACATGTCGCTTTCTTGTAATACGGGTGCTGGAACAAGTAAAATTAAATAAGTATATGATATAGAGGTAGTTGAATGTATGATATAAAAATACTATGAATCAACAAAAACAACTGGCATCACAATCCTTTGAAAAATCCTAGAAAAGTAACAGAATAAACCACAAGTGTCCTACAAAATTGACATCTAACAAAAAAAAACATTAATCTGGCAAATGCCAGAAATTGAATGCCATAATTAACTAATATCTTAATATGTATTAGCAATGTTTGGCTTGATACCATAAACAAAAACAAAAGTAACATTTTTGCATCTAAATTTTTTATAGATATTAAAATAAACAAAAGAATGAAGATTTAAAAAAAATTGTCTGTTCATGTTAAAAATCAATATTTTATTGTTTAGTAAATTTTCATAATTTACAGTTTTTTCAAAACAATTATAATAACATACATATACATAAAAATATAATAAAAATGACAATTTTTAATATGTAAAAATTAATAAATACATAAAATTCTATAGTACAATATTCGTCTCATTTCCTTATCAAAAACAATTATTCCTATCTTTGTATAATATTAATTATGGCGCCTAAGCAAATAATGTTGTAGCTTATATCCTCGTCTAATATTAAACAGATTTCGCATAAGTATTTTATCTGAGACATCATAATCACCTTAGGTATCATGTCATTATTTTTATCGGAAAATTAGAATCTTAATAAGCAATTTAATTATTCTAGTTGTTCAGTGTCCATATTTAATTAAAAAAACACTTACATATAATTACACTCCTAAAAAAATTATTATATTATTTATTTAAGGGTGTAATATGAATAAAATATAAATTTCTTTTCTAAAACAATCTCTTTGAAATGTCATAAAAATAATAATATTAAAAATAATAAAAATTGGTGTACTATTATTTGTTTTATTAAAATTAAGCACTGAAGCATCAATAAGGACGCCACTGCTTAAAGCTAAAACAAAAAATAGTTTAAAGAAAATTAATTATTATATCCGAATGGAATTATCCAAACTTAGGAATAGAAATGATACAGCCTGTATATATAAGAAACTTTAACTCGCCTCACTCTAATATGATTTTTGAAATAAAAATTGCATAAAAATTAACGCCCACAATAGTTTCACTTATCAATGACATTCTAATAGATGGATTAAACTTGAAATTTCTGTGTCAATGAAAGTTACTCAGTTATAAAAAAAATAATGAAATAGTTACGATATCAAATTGAGATCCGCATTAAACGTATTGGTTCTTGGAATTCATTAAAACTGATATAAATAAAATCAATAAAAAATAAAGTATTGCTAATATGTATAGCCATAGTTGTGGCCATAGCTTGTTCAAGATATTTGAGCATTATGCGGGAAAAAGTTTTAAAAAACTCTGAATATTAGCAAATTACTCGTAAAACAATGGAAATTTTAGTATGTTTTTTAGTATACAGGGGAGCTTGATATAACTTTCCATCATTTTTCAAATTGCGAAAAAAAAATAGTAATGAAATAGTTGATATTTATATTCATTTTAAAAAATTACTAACCTAACCAACTACATACTATACAGGGTAAGACTTAAATAAGTGTAAACATTTTCAGAACCGGTAGATCTCGATAACAGAAACATATTTTCTCTTTACCGTTTTTCAAATAAATCCAAAATAATCGAGTTATTTTACACCGAAAATTAAAAAAAAGCGATTTTTGCTTGAATTTTGAAAACCAGTGGATCTTTTCTGGGGTTTCTTTCTTGTAAATTTAATCTACTAGTATTGTTGCCATATTATCAAGAAATTATGTTTTTTATATTCTAAGAAAAAATCCAAAAAATTTTTTCAAAATAATTCCAAATTAATTTTCTTTTTCGCGAAAAAACTCATATAGGTACGCGTTTCTGGGACCAAAATATACTACCCCTAAAAATATTTGCACATATTTAAGACTCACGCTGTATTTAGAAATAAAATAAAATCAAATTTAATCATCTTAATATTTCGTTTTGAATGTATTAAAAACTAATAAATATATATTAACAAATAATTAAATTTAAATTAAAAAAAAAACAACTCAATCAAGTACCATTTTTTGAAACACGTTCAAAAATAATTTTGTTTTGGATATGTTCCAATTTAGTACTTATTTTTAATTCGCTATAGAAGGCAAACGACGTACTGTTCAAATACTAAAAAATATTCTAATACAGGGTATTCTATAAATATTCAATAATTATTTACTAAACAAACATTTCGGACTTTTAATTTTGATTTTTTTTAATTTTCTCAAAAAATATGTTTTATTTCAGTTCTATATTATAACTAGATAAATTTTAGTAAAATTGATTTTTTTACTTAAAAAAATAAATCACACCTCTATAATAGATATAAAAAATTATTTTAGTCTCTGTGATAAGCATATTTCCATTATTATTGGTCTAGCAATCAGTTTTCAAAATAAAAATCTGGATTTAGGGATAATTATATTAATTAATCTTCTGATTATTTTTAAAATTAATTAATCTCAAATTCTTATAGATTAACAAGATTTTTTTCTAAATTCAGTATAAATTGTTCGCAATAAAGCTTTTTTAGAATTAATAAACTTAGTAGTCTAGCGAAAAAAAAATGATATATTGAAGTTTTAAAACAGTTTGAGTTCTATCGATAAATATTGATTATTAAAATTGATTCAGTGACGCAATTTTTATACAGGATGTCCCAGCAGGGACTGCATAGTTCGATTAATTTATTTGAGACAGTAGTAACGTGGCAGAGCGCAATTCGGATATATCTTTGTAAATAGACGGTACTTCCGGTTATACCGGAACTGAAAATCAACCTGGTTGTTTTAAATGGACCACTCTATATATTATATCATTGCTTTTTTTAAATACTGCGTCATTATTAAATATTTTTAGTATGTTCTAAATATTTTGCTCTATACCTCTACACACATGATTTTAATATTTTGTTTTAATTAAAATAAACTTTTTATGTCCGATACTGATCTTGAAAAAAATGAAATATGTAAGTTAAAATTTCTTTTCATACAAAATTTTCAATAAAAAAGTAACATAATATATTTAACTTTTTAGAAATGTTTCGTTTTTACTGAAAAAAACTTGCATAAATACTGCAAACGTTGAATTATTTCGTTTTTTTGTAATCTCAAGAAATTTCAACGGCAATTCTTCCGAACAATTATAAAAATGTACTAAAAAAAGAAATATATTGCCAAAAAATGGACATATTTAATAAGTCCTCTATATATTGTTAAGCCTTTTATAGCAATCTATGTACGTATCTACTATCGGTAGCTGAGCGTTTCTGTTCAAGTCTTTTTGAAGCGTTTAAGCTTAAAAATCATTATTGGTCTATAGTATAGACCAAATAAGAGTTTTTGAAGCTTTTTTAGAAGTACATTTAGAAGTAGTTATTCTCTATACTTTTCTCTATAAATGAACTTTGAACCATCTAACGTAAATATAGGCATCTATTTTGCCGAATTTCTATTCCATGGTTTTCGATTAATATTTATATTAAAAATCTACAGCTCAACTAATATTTTGTTACAAAATCTCAAATTCACATCAAAGTAAAATTTGAAAAACGGCACCAAAATATCTATTATCAGTATTTCATTCATTCATTATGTACGATTCTCCATTGTGTCAATAAATCTATACATATATTGTTTTATTCGAACATACTCCATCATATTTCAAGGGACCCCTTCTTGCTTGCAGAAGAACGACCTTCATCAGGTGAAAACAGTTGTCCCATCATAGTACTCATACTTTCTTGTTGTAATTGTTCCATCCTCGACTTGAATGATATAATTATGTAACAAATTGTTCATAATATCTGTACTCTAGCTGCCAAACGACGAAAAGTACGCTACATCATACAAAGACACGCTTGTTTATACGATATGTTTAAAATGATATGTAGAAAGTATATAAGATATAGTAAATGTGTAAAAGATAGTAAACTAACTAAATTTGTAAACAAAAACTAGTACAATTTCGAAACTCGCTTCACATTATACTAAATTATAATATCTTGACTCACATCATAATAAATTAATATATTGGTGAAAAATGGACAAACAAGGTATTTAAAAATACTTGGTATGTAAAAAGTTAACTAAAATGGCGAAATAAAATAAACAAAATGGTTAGATTTAAGAAGAAAACACCCCACCTAATTTAAATTATCTCGACTGTCATTACATTAAATGAATATTTACAAGCAATCGTTAAATAACAAAATTGACGAAGTGAAGAACGTCTTTCTCACCTTCATTTATGTAATTCACGTAATATCATGACCCAAATGAATAAGATCTATTCACACACGTCAGTCGCCGTACCGTTTTAGTTTCATTCGGTCGACATTTGTGACGGTCATTCATACATATCAGCACAGACTAAAGTAGGTAACCCATCAGGAACGCCCGGCACGGCACGACACGGCGCGGCGCGGCACAGCACAGCACCGGTCGAATTCATTTATATAGATTGCAACGAAACCTATTATGAGCTGAACTGGGCCGAACCGGGCCGGGCGCCGGGCGTTCATAATGGGAAACATAAAACATTGGAGCGGGACTCTTTTTATGTAAAAAAACCAACTTCGTAGGAAAAGACGTCAATCAAGACAAGAAAATGTTGTTGATGACGAATTTAAATTATGACTGAACGGAAAATTAAACGTGACTGACGATAATCGGTATCGAAATGATATATATTTTTTTATCGCAACTTATGATTGTTTGACGCAACATAAGTGAGACGTGACTGACATTTGTGAATAGACCCTAAGCATCGTAAAAGTTTACCGTGAAATTTAATAATTATATACCGCTTTTTATTGATTAAATATTGAGAAGAAATTATTTTTGTTTAGTAACCCAAACTAACTTGGACACCAATATAACTGTTGTCGAGTCATAAAAGTTTACTTGAATCTTTGAATCATTCGTCATTCGATGACGTCTAACTTTTA